TCCCAATCTTGAATATTATATATTATACTTGGGCCTAAACTCTCTTTTATAATATAGTAGAAAAAATTATAATTTGGTGTCTTTCTAAAAACACAATATGGGCTCATTCATCATATTAGACCCAAGCCCAAGGTCCAAATATGAGGAAATGGTAAATGACAAATCTACCCCTCAGGTATTGAAGAGACAGAGTTAAGAGGTTTAAGCTAAGGTTCAGTCATTTTCTTCTGCGCACCCCAAATCTCGACGGCGATTTCTGGGTCTCTGTCGAGAATAAAAAAGGTTAGCGAAAACCCATTTCTCTCTCTCTGTTTTTGGGTTTTTTTTTTTGGTTTCAAAGATTTAAGTTTTTATTTGATACTTACTGTTAATCTTGAAAATTGAATTTTTTTTAATCCAAATGGTTCTATACAAAATCTGTTAGTTGTATTTGATTGTTTTGTGTTTGGGTTGAGGTGGGTTGGTGTTAGTTTTAGGTTTTGTTTGGTTGATTGATAGTTGATTGCATTGACTTCTAATAGGGGTCTTACTGTTTTGATGCTTTTTGATTGTGAAATGATTGAAAAGCCACTTATTTAGTGATATAACGAAAATGGGGTTTATAGGAGATAATCTTGTTTGAAGTTTTACTAGTAATGTCTATGTACTTGTTCTGGAAAGGAAGAAAAATGTATGGAGTTTGAATTGGGGGTTTAATTAGATTGCGGTTTGTGTAATAGTAGCTTATATAATCAAAGATATGTATTAGGCCTATAGAATTTGTGGGGTTGGGTTTCAGTTATGGTTTTCCTTGGAATGCATTGACTTCCAATAATATTGCTGTTTTGATGCATTTAGGTAGTCGAATAATTGAAAAGCCACTTATAGTAATATCAACAAAATGGGGTTTACAGTAGACAATCTTGTTTGAAGTTTCACTAGTAATAGTTTCAATGTACTTGTTCTGGAAAGGAAGAAAAATATATGGAGATTGGGATTAATATGCCTGTTTATGTAATATTATGCTTAGATAGTCAAAAAAATATATATTAGGCTCATAATATTCATGGGGAAATTGATACCAAGATAGACATTGCTGACCGTGGAGAAGTATTTGTGAATTTGAAAACTATGAGGTACTTAAAGAAATTTCAATTCCTTCTATCAATTTAGAGAAAAGAAAAGAAATGAAATTTCAATTTAATGATATTATAACTCAATTTTTCATGTCAGGCCCGAAGTTGTTTGCAAGTTTAAATATGTTAAGTGTTGTTAAAATTGGAACAGAATAATTTCATTTAGTGTTTTTTTGGATACCTTGTGATTCTGTTTTCATCGAGAACGAGCTTGTATATGGTTTATTTTTGTAGTTATTCTCTTAGGATTGTTCTGCTTGTGAACGAGCAAGGGCATACAACTAGTTGAAGGAAGGCCGTATTATTGAGATTAGAAAACAGAGAAATAATTTCACTTAATTTGTTAATGGTCCAAATTTGTCTACTGCAAATGCAAAACTTCATGTTGCTTGATTTTGGTTATGGTTTATGCATAATGGGAGAAAAACTGTATTTCTTCCATAACTAATTGTATGCTTCACTTAACTAACTGTGTTTCTTTCGATCATGTGGGCATAACTAATCGTATGCTAATTGTTCATCAGTATTGATCAGGGTGATTTCATTTGAAGAAGAGATGGAGCAGAGCCCGGCACCATTTTCCGAAATCGGCAGGCGGGCAAGAGGTAATGATTCACCATCAATTTAATGAGTACTGATGCTTCTGATACTTATTAGGAAGGTAAAATGAAGTATAGGAAAACATTCATGTACTAATACATTTATTAAACTTGATCTGCGAAACCAATTGTAAGAACCAAGCAATTTCTCCTTTCTAACTGTTTAGGTAATTGAACCTGTCAAAAGTCAGCCAGCAAGCACAAACTAAGTACCCTACCATGCAGGAGGGTTCTCTAGATTTTAGCCCCATGATATTGTATATTTAGGGTCTCATATTCAATTCCCAGCAGAAGCAATAATACTAGGTGATTTCTTTCCATCTGCCCAAGCCTTGGTGGTTAGAGTTTACGTGGCATGGTTTGCTAAATTCAAGTTCTTTCTGCATATGAGCTGATGTGGGAGATAGTAGGTACCTCATGGAATCAGTCAAGGTGGGCACTAGCTAGTCCGGATGCCACGGTTATATAAAGGAGATACTGTCTATTTTCTGTTTGGAACTTCACATTTACTGGAGAGTTTCCAAGTGTATACCAGTACCATTGTTGAGCCAATTCACATCAATGTTTTGGCGCTTTGGTCTTACCAACTCTACACAATCTCCTCTTGGAAGCAGTTACATGTTACCTCCCCTATTAAATATGTGATTGTAGTGTATAAGTTATAACACATGTATTAACACTATTTATCAAGAGTACAGTAAGTTTTTTCTTCTGTAGGTTTTCTATTGTCTGGTATACTATTTGTATATGGGTGAGTCTGGCCCAAGCATCAACACAATTTATTTACCTTATAAAAAGATCAAGAGTATATAGTAAGTTTGTTATGTAACATAGAATATCTCATGAGCTTTTAACAGTTGTTCGTAATGAGTTGGACAGAAAATTTTCATGTAATATGTGCTTTTGAGAAGATTTTGTGCTCAAGTACTCATAAAAAGGGAAAAGGGAAGACTTTATGCTCAACCCAGTGTACATATTGCACTTTCACCATCACTAAAAAATATGCCAAATATATATATTTAAAGTATGCCGGTTTATAGGCCTTTCAAGCTAGGTTTGCTCAAACTCGCCTCCCAAACTTGTTGAAATAGGTTATACCAAGCCTTGAATAAGAGTAAGTCAGGCTGAATGAGCTTGCTTCAGGTCACTGCGAAGCTGTGCATAGATTGCAGCAGGGCGAGCGGAGCTCAAACGTTAACCAGCTTGATTATATAGCCTGCAATAGCCTATTTGTTTCATACTGATTTCTTCCACTTAGATTGTTATAACAACTTAACTAGGTGAAGTATATAGTTTTGAATTTTGACTGTTCGATTACCATCAAAATTCCTTGAATAGATTTCTATTTGGTGAGCATCATATTAAGACTCATCTAAAGATCTAGTCATTTAACAATTTTGACAACTTTTATCCATCTCTTAAGATAATCTTCTCTGGAGGAGAGCTTGTATTTTTTTGCCATATGTGAATATTCTAATGGTCTGTGAAATGCTCACATTCATGCAGATCTACTGACCAAAGACTACAATTATGATCAGAAGTTCACCTTCTCTATTCCGAGCTCCAGTGGGGTGGTACTAGCTTATTCTCTCATTTACTGTTTCTCATTTAGATTATTTAAGCTGTTGAATCTTCTATTTGGGCTTCAGAAGGCTGCCAAACTTCTCCACCTGCACACATTGTTGTAGTTTATTTATTATATTGATATTGGATAAATATGTACTTTAAGTTACAAAATCATTTGTTCATTCTGAAATATATTATTCTGTGTCTTCAAGTCTGGTATCTGTCCTTTGTACGAGATTTTTTTTTTATGAAAAAGGTGTTTGGGCCAATTTGTACACCTCGACTTTTCCACTGAGTACTGTTACCATACAAGTATAGGGTATTCTTCCCATCAAGGCTTGAGCCGATGGGATAAAATCACATAGTGCTGCCATTCTAGCAGTACCGGGTTAACAAATTACACCCCATCTGAACATGGAAGGCCTTTTTTCTGAGAAAGGAGAATAGGATGAAATAAAATAAAGCAAAATAGAAAGAAAAGAATCTAACTATGTGCACCTATACACACCCACACGGTGACGCACAAGTTTTCTGTCAAATTTATATGAGGTTTTGAAAATTCTGTACTTTTACAACAGTGTTAAGGGATACTAACTTTATTCCTAATAGCCTAATTTTCAGGTAAGACATCCTTTATTCCACATGTGGCTGACACAGTTGTAATTGCTGTATTTGCAATTTGATAATTAAAGTCAATTCATATTAAAACCTGGTCACATCCACGTCTATATATATTATTATTTTTGTTCCTGAAGTACATGCAAGGCTTGTAAGAACTTAATTTGATTGTGAAAATTAATAATTTACTATTTTCCCTTTTGAGGGTACAAATAAAGGTGTTCTTGCTGTTGTTCTTGTACTGTGTCCGAGTACTAGTTTTATAGGATGATCATTCTTTTTTTAATTTATTTATTGAGAAGGATTTCTGTAACATTATTCAGTGGTGAGAGCTTACGTAAAGTTCGGTTTACAACTCAAGGAAATCCTTTGAGAATGAAATATAAATGGTAGAAAGATGTTCATAAGAACATTTGTGTTCTTGATTCTTTAGAAAATGTACTTGCATCTTCCTTTGGTTTTGGGAGAAATGGAAATTGTCCTCTACTTTAGCCATGATTGACGACTTTACCCTGTTATATAGTTTGCAAGGAAAAGAGGTATTAGGACCTCACCTGATCTTAGCTTACATCGTCTAAAATAGCAGTTTGCATTTGCTAATATCTCTTGATTCTGCTTGATTATGGTGTTCCATTAAGTATATCCCTTGAAATTGATCTAGAAATGTTTCATATCTTGCATAAGTTTGCAATTTGTTTGAAAGTGACGTTGGTGAATTCATTGGCAATCATACTTGGTATGCTTTCATTTATTGTGACTATAGAACCTTTCCGAAATCCCAACAGATGGTGCTGGTGTGCTGTAAAATCTGGTGTTTCTGACGTTTATCATTGCTATTTAATGTGCAACTTTTTCTGTATTCTATTAATTTAGAGTTATATCTGAATCCGATCCTAACTTATGTCATTTTCTCATATTAGGGAATAACAGCTACTGGTGTGAAGAAAGATCAAATTTTTATTGGTGATATAAGTACTCAATATAAGCTCGGAAGTACAGTTGTCGATATCAAAGTTGATACCTATTCCAATGTAAGAGCAGATTCCCTGTCACTTAGACCAGCAATTGCTTGTCCTCTTGATAATCTAATTTGTGATCCTGATATATATTTAAACTCTTGGGTCTCTTATTAGTAAGTGCAACAAATTTCTTACGTGATGTTTATATGTTATCTTATATGCAGGTCTCAACAAAAGTTACACTGGTTGACGTTTTCCGATCCACAAAAGTGTCCTTGGGCTTCAACATACCTGATCACAAGTCTGGCAAGGTTAATAGTTGTGCTTTCTCAAGTACTGGTCAAAAGAATCTCTGGTCTGTCTGATACCACATCAACACATGTATGAGCCAAAGAATTAAATTAGTGCGTGTCATGCTACCACAGATATTATGGGCGAAGAGACAAATTAGAGGATAAAAGATAGCTCATTTTTACATTGATTATTTCCAGTTATGTCTTTGTTTCATTGATGGTACTGGTACAGGCAGATAATGATTTGTGAGTGATTAGTTGTTCACGGTGAACTAACTGAAACTTGGTGAGAGCGTCACTGGCTGCTAAGTGAACTATAATTAATGTGCTACCTACTAAGTATTGTTCTTAAAAAGCTTTCTGTGGATACAAGTAATTCATATAGGTCGATATCATATATTATCACCAATTACATTTTCACCCTATTCCATAGCATCCTCTTTTCCTTGGGAGTCATCATCTCAGGTAATGTTAATTACATCATGCAGTGCAAATGTTGAACCTTAGAGTTGGACACATGGACTTGAAACATTTAATGTCTGTAGCACTTTTTCATTAATTTATTTTTACTTCAATTCTGACTAGTTTTTGGGGGATAATGTGCTAATTCCAGACTCCTTTATTCACACACAACTCAAAATTTAAAATCTTATGAAAGATACACTTGTGAAGGACTGGTCTATTTGTTAAGTTGTCTTTGAAAATGGGAGCTGATGCTTTACTTTTTATCCCGATGGGCATGCGCTTAGTGAAGACAATTTGTGGGTCATCTAGATTACTGGTTCTATTATTTTCAATATTCAGATGATGCTAATGTGAAGTTGTGAACAGTATAAAAATCTCAGTTTATTTCTATTACAATCTCTTTTTCAGCAGTTAAGTGGAGTGGAAAGAAAGTAATTGAACCTATCGTGTCAATTAGAGGAGCAAGTTCTACCTGCCATAAAATAGTGTCTAAACAATAACTAGATTTCGACAGAACTACCTTACCTCATTAGGGAAAAACAGTGTGACATGTTTTTTCCAATGTTCTATGATTTCAAGCTGTTTTTAAGTAGGAACAATCTGTATGTTATTTGGTTTGTGAATTCAATATCAATCTCTGAATCATTTATTTTGCATTTTCAGCTCGATGTTCAGTACCTTCATCAGCATGCTGCCATCAATTCCAGTATTGGCTTAAATCCCTCCCCTCTCTTGGAGCTCTCGGCTGCTATTGGCAGCAAGGATTTAGCCCTTGGTGGTGAAATAGGATTTAATACTGCTTCATCTTCTTTTACCAAGTGCAATGCTGGGATTAGTTTTAACAAACCGGATTTTTCTGCTGCACTTATGTTGTAAGTATTCATATGTTGTTTTCTGCTTAATATACTCTTGGTGCTGTTAGCTAAGTAAAGGTGGGATGGTCAATCCAACTATGCAACATGCAGTTATATGCTTTTTATTTATTATGTCAAATTGTTGTGCTGACTATTGAAGTGTAGTTGTCAATTTCTGTCTGCCCCGCTCTCTTTGTTTCATCATTTATTTCCAAGATGTTTTGACTTTTAGCTTTAACGGTTGAAGTCTTGGTGCACCACCATTATCAGAAATAAAAATAAGTTTTACATCTGTAATCTACTAATCTGACTATGAATAAATCTTTACATTTTTTGATATTAAAAAAAGTAGTTTTCTGGACATTCTTAAGGGAAGGAAAAGAATGGAGAGAAATCTTGTGTGAAGGAATGCATGTAGTACTAGTTTTAGGAAAACATTAACTTGCTGTTTGGTTTAAACTACATCAATTTTCCAACCAAATTTTCATCAATTTGAAAGTTAAAGAAGTATATCAGAAACCAATCTCTCTACCCCACAAAGTTAGGACCTTAGGGGTAAGGTCCGCATACACCCCACCCTCCCCAGACCTCACTTGTCACACTGGGTATGTTGTTGTTTAAAAGTTAAAGAAGTGATGTTGTTGCTGAAGCTCTGCAAAATTCAACTAGAATTATTTGAGAAAAATTTTGCCAGAGTTAATGGACGCAAATATAATCTCTAGAAAGAACATGCCAGTAATGTCTATTTTTTTTACAGCATATGTTCAAAGCGAAGTCTTCAAGGGGTGAAAATAGGCAGTCAAAAGGAAACTAGGTTATCTTTCGAATTTCATTAGTTGGAATCCCAGATCTGAGATATAGTCTCTTTATGCTCTATCTTTAAAAGGGCATAGATATAGTTGGTAAATAGATAGGTTGAAAGTTTAGAAGTGATATGAAGAAATTGTTAGTGATTAGTATTAAGAAATTAAAACTTCGGTACAAGATACTAGCTTCAAAAAACATAAAACAACTTATTTTGATACTTTACCTTATAAAAAAACAAATACTCCCTCCGTCCCATTTTATGTGGCAACATTTGACTGGGCACGGAGTTTAAGAAATAAATGAAGACTTTGAAATGTTTACCAAATTGCCCCTTCAAAAAATAGTCATATTAAAAAGTAGACTCACTTATCTCTCTCCTCATAAATGTATTGGAGTACTATCTTTAAGATTAAGTGGGACCAACAAGGGTAAAAGAGGAATTGTATCTTTAAATACTTACCATATAAGGAAATGTGACATTCTTTTTGGGACTGACCAAAAAGGAAATGTTGCCACATAAAATGGGACAGAGGGAGTACAACTTATTTTGATACTTTACCTTATAAAAAAACAAATACTCCCTCCGTCCCATTTTATGTGGCAACATTTGACTGGGCACGGAGTTTAAGAAATAAATGAAGACTTTGAAATGTTTACCAAATTGCCCCTTCAAAAAATAGTCATATTAAAAAGTAGACTCACTTATCTCTCTCCTCATAAATGTATTGGAGTACTATCTTTAAGATTAAGTGGGACCAACAAGGGTAAAAGAGGAATTGTATCTTTAAATACTTACCATATAAGGAAATGTGACATTCTTTTTGGGACTGACCAAAAGGGAAATGGTGCCACATAAAATGTGACGAAGGGAGTAACTACTTTTCATCTAAATCAAGAAAATTTTAATGGGTTTTAAGTTGATTATCATGATTTTATTTCATATATTTTGCTTAATTATAGATATTTCAATTCTTTGTTCAAGTAGTTATGGTTTGTGTCTATAGTAATTTTTCTTTGCATTATGCTGATGTATACACATACATATATGAATTGAAATAGCGAAATATGGTCATTGAGGGTTCATATAGCCGACCCAACTTGTTTGGAACTGGTGTAGTTGTTTGCACACAAAAGGCCAAATAAATTCTTAGCGCTTTCTGCTTTTGACCTAAGTTGTGTGTGGACTCTTCACTTATGATGCCGCACCCGTGTCGGATTCTCCAAAATACACTACGGTTAGAGAATCCGACATACACATGTTGACATTTTGAAACTTTTGGGGAAGCCACTATGACATGAATTACCATAACTTGCCTCAATCCCAAAGTAGTTGAGGAAGCAACCATGACATGAATTACAAAAACTTCTATTTCTGAAAGGTGTTTTCCTGTTGAAACAAGTACATTTAAAAGATTGTGTACTTCCTGAGTAGCGGACTTTTTGTTAAAACATGTAAAATCACATGTTGAAATCTGGAGTCTGGAGCTAAAAGGGAAGATTCTGTTGCAAAAATGCCATAAGGGCAAACAAATTCAGAAAAAAACCAAATGTGCATGGCCTCACACGCCTTGCCCTTTGTTTCTTAATGGCCATCAAGTAAACGTCAAAGGCAAGGTGCATGACCCCACACACCTTATAAGGCGCAGGGGCCCGTGCGCATTTCGCCTTATTGGTGGGCCCCAAAGGAAACCACAAATTTTACCCTAGTTAGGAAATAACTAGGGAAGGTTGAAGAAAAAACAAAAGAAAAGTCAAAACAACAATGAAAACATTTTCTTTATTCCATTTTGGCTAAAGTATTTAGAACAAAATCAGTAATTGTATTTTCCAAAAAATACATTTTGACATAATTGTTTTCCATATTAAGAACTACTTTTTTTAAAAAAAAAATCCTTTATTGGCTGTTTATGTGAACATTTTATATAATCAAATTGCCCTTTCTGTCTTCCTTTCTCCCCGTGCTTCCCTTCTTTTTCTCTGTCTATATTTTTCTCCTCCCAACTCTTTTTCCTACATTTATAAAAATACTACGTCGCTTGATTTGAAGAGACAAAAAATTTGATGATACTCGAGTTTAATATCAGAACACTTTGGATATCACATACTCTATTTAATTTATTTATCTTGTTTCTTTTACTAATATAAATTATTTTAAATATATTTACTCATTAGGTGTATTTCAATCTGTTGTGGTCGTGTCATTTTCCTAGTTTACTCAGTTTTCTGGTGACTGATCAAAGGTAGAGCAGTGAGCACCAAAAGGAAAGGAAATATTAAGAATTTGATTGTGGGTGGGGGG